TTTTAGTATTTATTCAAATATATGCTGAGGTGGCATGCCACCTCATTTTCGTCCTTGGAATTCGTCCCTTATTTTCGTCTTCCTCATCATTATTCTTTCAACACCTGTATCCTCCGCAGTTGAGCAGAGTTCGAATTCATTCTCCCATAGAGTTGTAAGCCGTTTAAAAAGAAAAAAAGAAAATGAAAAAAGAGAGGAGGATAGATATTAGATAGATCTAATTAGTTGCAATATTTAATGGTGCTTAGATGCCAAAAATCAGTTCCCCACTCCCTTAATTTACGTAAATTTTTCATATGTTTCATAAAATATATATGTATATCTATTCCTATAAAATAGGGGCGTCTGTGCTCAACAAAATCAATGTAATTTTTTAAGAAAAATATTATATTTATTAACAATATTTTTTTAACAATAAAATCTTATAATATAAACTGATATAACACACTATACTCAAATTCAATGTAAATTTTCATTTTCAAAATTAAGACTCTCACACCATCTACACACATCTCACATGAATCTTAAGGTATATAATTTAAGTTTTTAAGGGTTTACATCTCAAAATTTTCTCTTTTTTTTTTTTTTATTTTTTGACAAGAAAAAATGGTTAGATTAGGTATTAGTATTTATTATTTTGTAAGAAGGTCGAACCTTAAAACTAAGTGCATTTCATCTGCTGTTCAATGAATAGTGTGATCACCACTGGACCACATGAGAGATTGCAATTTCAAAATTTTCTCTTATATTCTCAATAGGTTAATTTTTTTACTATTGAAAGTCATATAAATGAAATGATCAATGGTTAGTGCTAGGTTTGCATTTAGTTTTCCATTATCAGAGTATAATTCAATGAAATATCAAGATAATTCATCACAGATCTCGAAAAGAACAATAAACTCCCAAAAAGAGAGTAAACTCCTAAATGAGACAATCTCAACTTATTATTCATCTACTCCACCCACCAAGGGAGACAGAGAAAGTGATGGCTACAAAGAAGGGAACAAGAAAAAACGAAAGAGTTGAGGAAGAAGGCGGCCAGGGGTTTCCCCTATGTTAACAATATGCAAGCTTAATTTTTCAATTCAATTAAGGGCTTATTTGGTGGGATTTAAAAGTA